CTTGTTGTCGCGCTGTACTTGTTAAGTCAGAGGTCACTGACCTTTGACTTTCGCCTAACCTCCAGCAGTTGTTCAACCTCCGAGGGTTGACTCGCTGATGCTTCGATATGTTTCGCTTCGCTTCTGACTTGGTGTTTCGACACGACAGAGGCGCATAAGTTACTTGTTTCCAACACTGGTAACACTTCCTTCCTGGTTGACGTATGAATTTCCATCTGGCTCCGCAGCCGTATTGAGCTTTCATTCCTGATCTCCCTGCAGCGATGACAAATGCTCAGCTGATGGAGGAGGGCAATCGTGTGATGGGACAAGCGGACCAATCTGTTCTAAGATCCAAGCAGGTTCTTTCTTGCTTCGAAGACCTTTGTCGAAGGCGATGCATATGTTTATTACCGTACGTGCTTTTTGTGTTTCAGGTAGTTGAGAACACTATCAACATTGGAGCAGCAACGGCCACGACTTTGAAGGGACAGGTATGGCGCTGAAGATTCTGCCTTGTAAGTGCGGGGTTCTTACTCTTGTGTGACGCGTGCAGACCGAACAAATGGAACGGATTGTTGATAAGCTTGACAATTTAGAATTCTCCCTTAAGCGGGCAGCCAAGCTTGTGAAGGCATTGGGCCGACAGGTGAGTCAGATGATGGTGAGTGCTCTCTTTTCCCTAAACCATGCGACCTGCTTAACACAACCACTGAAGCAGATGGCAACAGATAAATGCATCTTGGCAATGCTGGCGCTTGTTATTCTTGGAGTGATTGCCATCATAATCGTCAAGGTGAGTTGGGCCTTTGCTCCAGTGACTATCCCTGACATCTTCGCCTGAACTAACTCTCAACTGGTTGCAGATCGTGGACCCGCATAACAAGAAGCTAAGTGACTTGGGTCCCCAAGCTCCTCCAGCTTCAAACTGAATCTTGTCTTCGAATGTTATCCAGTGTACAATGTCATCATTAAGCAGAAACATTCACTATATTACAAGCAGCATATGCTCCCATTTCCCGTTTAAGACCCCGTTCCTAGTTGCAATCCACGATATGCAGTTACAGCACAATTCCTCTCACATCACCCCCATGACGGTACTTCACAAGCAAGAACTCCACGGGAATGATAAGATAGAACTACAAACCGTAGTAAAGGGTCTCTTGCTGCCCATTCACTATCAGGGTGAAGGTTGCCGCCAGGTGATCACCTGACATGGTAGCTCCCACCAGAGCAGCCATAAACTTCTGCAGTCCCAAGACGCCGGCCGTGGTAGCAGCTCCCGCGGGGATTTTCACGTCGACAGTCTTGGAGCAAGTGAACACTCCCTTGATGTTCGATGTGAAGGGGCATGCTAGGGTGAGAGGGGCAGACTTGTCGGCTCCGACCTGACCCACCAGAGAGACCTTTGAGTTGGTGTTTACGCCCTTGGTGAAGGCCAGGTGCACCTCGAGAGTAACCTTGGTGTTGCTGCTTGACGGGCAGAGAGAAGGGGCAGAGAGAGGGTGCAGGAAAGAGGGGGGACAGAGAGAGTGGGCAGAGGAGGTGCAGATAGGGGGTGCAGCAGAGGGGGGGCAGCAGGACACAAGAGGTAAAGCAGGTGAAGGGAAGAGCACAAGCTGAGTTTAGTTTCACGCCTCTGATGAGGGCCAGGTGCTCTTCCAGGCTGACCTTGGTGTCGCTATATGGCGGGGGGATAGAGGGGAGGGGCAAAGAGGGGGGGCAGAGAGGGGGGGCAGAGAGAAGGGGGGGCAGCAGAGGACACAACAAGTAGAGCAAATATAAGTCGATTTGCTTGCTTGTAGTCTTATATTCTCGGAAATTTGTCATTCTAGGTTTCCTCTCTGACCAGCCTCACCATCCCAAACCCCTCGAATGCAGCCTCTCTGGATTGGCTTTCGCCGTTACCACTCTCATCGCAATAGATGTTCCGAAATTACGAACTCACGTGCTGGTGGCGATGCGGATCTTGGCTCCCCCAGCCACGGTCCCCGAGAACATGGCTTGGAATCGGCCGCCTGACATGGATGGCAGCACTGCGAGGCCTGGCACATGGGAGGGGCGGATGGGCGCATTGGGAGAGTCACAACGGGAAAAGGCGGAATGGGGGGGGGATGCACGAGGAGGGGTGCATCAGGGGGATTGCAATGGGAAGGGTGCAATTCACAGAGTCCGCCGCAACGCAGTATAACTTGTTCTGTCACGAGTAATCATAACGAATGGATGGAAGAAGAACACAATCTGCTTTGCCGGATTCATAACTAGAGCGTCCGTACCAGTATCGAGAGATCCGATCTTCGCTAGCGATCCTGACGCGGTAATCGCGTTGCCGTTCACATCCGCGTGCGACACTTCGGCCCCGACACCAATCAAGGCGCTTCCTAGAGCAATGGCCCCCCAGTCGAGACTCCTAGTCAGGTCCCATACACCCGGAGCCACCAGTTTCCATTGACTGGCGTCCGACGCCAGAGACGTGCCATCGAGTAAGACGTCCGTTGGCGGTTCGACGGTTCCCGCCATGACCACCCGGAGAACCACCGGGAATAGGCCCGTGCTGGGGTGATGGGAGCGCGAGGAGCGGGCGGGGAGAGGGAGGAAGGGGGGAGTATGAATAACACGGAGGTTTCAGAAGTCAGCAGAAACGGCGGTTTATCAGCCGGCTGGGTTGGAGAATCTTCGTGATATGGAGGAATGAAGGAATGCGACGGCACGGGGAGACTTTTGGAAGGCCGGACTTACTCGGCAGGCATACGCACGATCACGGTCCCCTGCGATTCGTATGACGACACCACCAGAGCACTGTAGAATGCTGCAAAGATATGGAGTGGGAACGGGAGAACGAGGGGTTAGCCGCTGAGACCGCTCTAGTCTCAGAATGGTAACACAAACTGAGCGTGACGCTGGGTCAAAGCGGTGACGCGTATGGACTTACATGATTTCGAAGAGGTTGCTGGAACGAATTTCTTGATATCCGCGTCCGCGACCTCGAACGCCGCTGAAGTCATGGTGACAGGCGCCGCGCAGAGGAGAAGCACGAGTCCTGCGGCGAAAATCAAGTGTATCGTGTATGATTTTTTGTTTTCAGCGTAAATCGATGTAAAATACAACCGCAGAGGCTTCGATTTCTTTCAAAGATGAGGGTAGCTGTAATGAACGGGCCATCTGAATTTTGCGCCTTGAAGATTCTTACCAGGAAGGCACATAAGGCAGGATACGAGCCAATGCGGAATTGCGAGGCGGGCCATGACGACACGTTTGAGTGAAATGCCGTGAACGGACAATGGAGGTAGAAAGAATTAGCAGAAGAAGCTCGGTCTGGTCTGGAAGAAAACTGGGTAGGAGCGAGAATGAGCACAAGTGCAAGCGGGATTGCTGCTCGAGAGGTGAAAAGCACGATGTGAACTGATGAATGTTGTGAAGTATGTTGAGTTATGTACTGTGTGGAGTCGTCTGCTTGGGAAGAAGGATGGGGTAGAGGCGGATAAGCTTGGCTGAGGAATTTACGGAGGCTTACAGGGGATTAATATGCGTTGCAGAGAGATAACAATGGATAGAGGTGGGCGGAGGAAGGAATGGATCGGGTGGGGCGATGGGATTGGAGGTTAGAATCAGGCACTGCATTATTGGGTGTCCGAAGCGCGCTATTTGAAAATCGCATTGGTGTGTTTGGTTGGCAGAAATAAGTTTTTGCTTCCGATGAAGTGATTGGGCGAGCTCATCTTGAAAATCTGCCCGCCCTTGTTGGGCAGCAATAATGCAGTACCAAATATTTCCATGACACGGGGCAGAAACCTTACGTGCGAAAGTTGACATCCTGAATTACCACCACCCTCTGTGGCACCCCCACTTGCGAAGGGTTTCGTCAGAAGTCGCTGACTCGTTCAGACACCAACGAAAAACCCGTTTCAGCGACACAAACCCAATAAACGGCTCCCTTTCAACCATCCTCCTTCACGGTCAGCCCCGTTCATTTTAGGATTCAGTGAACCGCGACCAGCAACAGCCCGCAGCTGACGGAGTCTGACGGCTCTGTCAGATGAGGAACGGAATTATTGGTGTGCTGATTTCCGTCAGCTTTTATTGTTCTTCCTCCTCCCCTCTCCCCATCGCCTTCAAACGGTCACAACCAGCCAGCCACACGGTAAAGCTCAAAACAGTTTTCCACCGTGTGAAACCGTCCTGCGCCATGAAGCACCCCTTCGCCTCATACATCTCAACCAGCCAGCCAGTCAATCAGTTTCCCAGTTTTCTTCCTAGCTTTCACCATTCAGGAACGCGTACATAGCTCAGCCTATTTCCTGCCAACTAGGTTCCATCGGCGCAGCTGAGACGCGAACGTCTCTTGCTTCGTTCCGTGAATAACGGAACGCATGAAGCCTCTATTATTTCACTTCTCCAATGGAACGCGGACGTTTGCATTATCGCTGGACCCCTGGCCAAATGGTTGACGGACCGACAATGACGGTCCGGGTTTCGCGCTTACCTCACACAAAGCAGCTGAGCGCTGCGTGTTCACTTCCACCCTTGGACGCAAGCCTTCTCATCCGTAAATCGTTTATTACCACCATCAGAGCCACATCCTTTTCTCATCAACAGCCTTTCTCTTCCCTAAACATTCCTTTCAAAGAGCTCCTTCTTCTCTTAAGACCGCAAACACTGTTGCAACCGCGAGTTCCTTTCACATCAGTGGTATCGTTTAGGGCTTCTCAGCGACACAACAGAAACACCCGCAATGGCTCTCCCCCGTGTTCTCACGTGCCTCCTCATCATCGCCAGTACGACTTCTCATCAACCTATGCCTCTCTCATCGATCGCTGGGCTGTTAATCAGGCTTATGAAAAAAAAAAAAAAAAACCCATCGCCATGCTTTTTTCAAACTACGTCGTATTTCGCTGTCGTTTTAATCGTTTTTCATCATTCTGATGAACTTGCTCTTATCATTTGTAATCATTCCAATGAACTCGCTATTATAAAATTTCCATTATTCTGGTTAGCTTGCTTTTTTCATTGTCATCATTCTGATGAACTTGCTTTTGTGGTCCTCTTCAGGCGTGCTGCTCTCGTCGTCACTTCCCGGAGCAGAGGCGGTGAGCGAGGCGGCCAAGCAGCGCGCCGCGAAAGCGGGCCTCGCGTTCGTCAAGGCCGTCCTAACGATGCTCTTCCCGCCGCCCACGCCCGCCGCCAGTCAGTGCCTCCATCCCTTCCCTATCGCTCTCCCCGCTCCTGCTTGAAATCCTTTCTCCAGAAAGTTCGAGTCTGAATTTTGTGGAGATTTATCGTAATGAATTCTTTAACGTGATAAAATGGCTGTCGCGTTTTGTGTCAGTTCTCGTAATCCGTGACTCGAGATGGCTCTCCATCATTGCCACGTCGGATAATCACCCATCCTCATCACCCGCCTCCTCCCCTTCTCATTGCCATGTCGGATGATCCCCAATGCAGAGTTTTACAGCGCGGACTTCTCAGATCTGAACGTGGCAGGGACGTTCAGCATCGCTGTCCCCTCCAAGTAAGTATTTGTTATCAGGACTCTAAACCCGGGATTCAGAGTTGAAAGTTTTGTGGTTCAATTCGGGGTCAGGGTTTCGTGGTGGGAGCATAGCATACGCCTTGTCGCAAGCAGCAGTGTGGGTGTGGTGGGGAGCATTGAGCCGTGCTCGCGAGCACTGACGGCAGGGACGGCTACAGGACGACCCAGGAGTGGAGATATGTTTCTGCTCTCCCTGCCCCCCTATTCCCCAATTTCTCCCCCCTCTCCCCAACCCCCTGTCTCTCCCTGCCCTCCCCCCTTTTCCTGCACAACCTTGGGGTGTCATGTCCTGAAATTGTAATCCCGTTTGGTGAAAATTCTTTTCTTTATTTCTTTCTTTTGATCGTCTTTCCCCAACCTTGCCAGGTCCGCGACCAAGCCGTCGCAGTTCCGCCTGACCGCTGCAGGCTCGCCCTATCCGCCGCAAGAAGTGACTCTGAACGCGAGAACTCCCGTCGTGCTGGGCTCGCTCGGAAAGAACTTGCAGTGCTCGCAAGTCGCGCCGAGCGTGTGGGACTGCTTCGGCCAGACCAAACTGACCCAGGCCGACATCAACAACATCGGGTTCACGGCTGGCGTGGGGGTTCGCGTCAATTCGTATGCGTTGAGTCTCACGTACATGGATGCACACAACATGGGGCTTGTCGTCGACTCCAACGCGAACCTCGCGGTAGCCAAGGCAAACTCGAAAATGGAGCAAGTCTTTGGTACGTTGTGTGCCCCCCCATCCATCCTGGTAACCCGGTTTGTGTATTTCTGTTTTCTTAGCTGTCGTGAGGAGCAGTCGTGTGTCGACTGACAACCCGAGATTGCCCATTTCACCTCTTTCGCTCACATGAAACAAGGTTTCAAGACGGGCAGTTAACTAACTCAAGTCAATGTTGCTGCAGGTAAAACCGATCTGCTGGCTGGGGTTGCCGCTGGAAGGTTCCAGGCAGGAATTAACAGCGAGAAGCTTAAAGGAGGAGCCATGTTTGCCGTCTCCAACATGTGAGTCCCTGTTACAGCTGCAATGGAAATGTCAATCCTGGTTCTCACATGCCAATCTTCCTTTTCCTAAAATTTCACCATCCACGCACACAGATCTCAACCCCACTGCCTCATTTCTCTCTCCTCCCTTCTGCCTTCTTCCTCGCAGCAACCGCAAGTGCAAGCTAGACGTGAGCATCGTGGTAGTCTCCCCAGATGCCCCCAAGTCAGCAACTCTCTCCGTCTCTGACCCTGCTTCTGCTGAAACCACCGACCTTAACCTTTCTTGCACATGGTCCCAGCCCCGCCCCGGCGTGTGGCTCTGCGAGTGGCTTGATAACTTTCCGAGTGTGTCGGGTGCTGCTGGCACTGCAAACGCTGCATATGCGGCTGCTGCCAGCATGCGTGCTGCGGCCCTGCCAGGCTCGGCAGTGGATTCGGTGATTAAGCTGACTGTGGAGTCGGAAGCGGGGGACACTGCTGAAGGCACGCTGCGTTATGCTCTCTGAACGAACTCTGTCAGGACTGCTCTGTTCCTCACAGGGTGGTGCCAGCCACACCAGGAAATTTATGGAGAGAAGCGTGTTAGTGGCAGTGAGTAAGTGTAGGGGGCCTACTGCTTCCTCCTCTCTGAAAGAGGTGGCACTGCCATGTTTCCTCTGTTTTGCGTGCAACCTTCCTGTAGTGCTTGCTGCATCTACACCTCGTGCCCTGTTGATGGTGCATCTGCATTCTTGTTGTACAATGTCCTTGTCATGCAAACTGTAAGCAACTTATATAAAGCGCCACCTTCTGTATCATTGGAATGAACCAATCTCTTTATAACAATCACCAACTAGCTTACAGTAAACAATGTTTGACCTTATGTAGTACAGTAAGTCGTTACTGTCATAAGGTCAAGGTTAGTGGCCTCCAACAAGCTCCGTCCTTACAAACCACGCACGCCCACAAACGCATAGAGAAACACATGATCCAGTAACTAAACCGATCGAATTAGTCATATGAATTTCCGTCCACACCCCATGATCCCTTTTCCTCCTGATTCACTTGCACTCTGATCTTCCACGGAGTTAGCAGGTCAACTGCAACGAGCTAGGCTAATCCGACAGACAACTCAAGTGCTGCACACATGATCTCGTTCCCATGATCCGATCTGATCCACCCAGGAACCCATCCTCCCACCCATGTTCCTGCTTTCCTTCCACTGCCCCCCTTACACGCTACCGGTATTTACTCTCCTTCCCTCCTCTCCCTTTAGCTGGTTTTGCCACTGCTGCTGCCACCGCTGCTGTTGCTGCTGCTGCTGCTGATGTTCCATCCCGCACCACAATACACACCTAGTACACCCGCAACTAATACACCCGCAACTAACACACCCCAACTCTGTACCTGGAACGCACACAACCAGTAACAGTGTCTGTTACAACATACTACGCTCAGATGCTTTACTGCTACTAGCAGGTTACAACCTGCCGCCTTCCCTGAACGATATCTCGAACCAGCTTGGTAGAAGCTTCACCCAGTTGAAGTGAGTCGGTTGAATGAGGTGAATATATAGTACGCATAGAACCTATGCAGAGTTTGACACTCTTTATCTGTTCCAGGACCACCTTCTCAAAGATTGACAAGTGCGAAGACCCTTCTCGACAAAGCCAGTTGCTGGAAGATGTCACGCCTAAACTTAGAGAGTGCAGAAGGTGGATATGAAAACTCTGCCGTTGCGTCGAAGTTGCGTAGTCGCGTTACTGAGCAAACGGATCTTATTGCAGGTTGATTCAGGAATTCGAGCGTGACATGAAAGACCAAGAAGCTAAGAACTCACCAGAAGTTAACAAATTGCTGCAGGAGAAGAAAAGGAACCTTGTGAAAGATTTGAACGCCTTCGTCACTCTCAAAAAAACGTTCGTACATGGTGTAATCATTCATGTCATTACCCCAGCTCTAATCATGAGGCTGTTTTTGCAGCTACCAGAGCGCTATCCAGGAAGGCCAGAAGGTGAAGCTGAGCGAGGATGGAAGAACGGCTAAAGTTGTGGGAGCTCCCCGGCTAGCATCTGGTTGTTGGGCTGAGGAAAGCCCTTATGATCTTTGGAGGACTAAATTCTGAGTAGGACAATGTAATAGTGGAAGTACCACCATGCGAAGTTTGTGAACCACCTTGCGCTCGTATGTGAGGGCAAAGTAGATTGATTAAAATTAAGAGATACAAGCTTTTATAAGTGTACAAGGGAATATGAAGGGTTATAATTAATAACTGTTTTGCTGTTGATGTTGCGGTTCGACACAGTGACGACTCGGGCAACTGCTCCATAGCGAGTCAGTTGTTTGTCCTTGCTGTCGCGCTGTACTGTTAAGGTCAAAGGTCACTGACCTTTGACTTTCGCATAACCTCCAGTAGTTGTTCAACCTCCGAGGGTTGACTCGCTAATGCTTCGATATGTTTCGCTTCGCTTCTGACTTGGTGTTTCGACACGACAGAGGCGCTTAAGTTAATTGTTTCCAACACTCCCCTTCGCTTCTGGAGTGTCGCTGCTGGTGACGTGGCTCTGACCAGTCAACATCATGCTGTACTCAAACTTCTGTTTTTCGAGTTTCTTGGTCGAGTAATCAGCTGCCATCTCGGACGTGGGGCAGTAGGATAATTCGAGTCTCCCCTTCTCGATCTCGTCTTTCACGAAGAAATATCGCAGGGCGATATGCTTCGTCCTGTTCGCGAATCCATTTTTGTTGGCTATGCGAATTGCCAACTGGTTGTCGCAGAACAGGGAGAAGCTGGGTAACTGAGCCAGCTTCGCCTCCTCCAGAAGTTCGCGGAGATACAGTCCTTCCTTGGTGGCTGAGCAGAGTGCGATATATTATGCTTCAGCTGAAGAGAGGGCGATTAACTCCTACTTGCTTGACTGCCACGAGATGGGTCCGATAGGTTCGAGGCGATAGATGTAGGCGGTGCACGAGCGTCTTTTGTCCGAGTCGCCGGCGTGATCAACGTCGACGTAGCCGATTAGTTTAGGAATTGTAGTTCCGTTCTTGTGGTAGGTTAAGCCGACGGTCGGGGTGCTGACGAGGTAGTGGAGAGCGCGGTCGAGTTCCGCCATGTGTTCTGCTTCAGGTTTCTTGAGGTAGGTCGCGAGCTGACTTGCGGAGTACGATAGGTCCGGGCGGCAGGTGACAGCTGCGAAGAGGAGGCAGCCTAGCTTTTTCTGGTAGTCGCGTATGCCTGCGGGCTTGAGCAGAGCGGAACTTTCCTTGTGATTCCCTGCGGTGTAGCGGTAAGGCGTGGAGATGGTGATCGGAGTGAGTCCGAAGCGTTTGGCGATAGTGTCGGCATATTTCGCGGCGTTGAGGTAGATTGCGCCTTCTTCTTCCTGAATGTTGAGGCCGAGATACTGCGTGACGGTGGACGAGACCGTGAGCGTGAGATCCTTCTGTAGCTCCCCTTCGAACCAGGTAGTGACGTTGTCGGTCGAGCCGATGTAGAGCAAATCGTCCACGTAGACGATCAGTAGGATGTAGTCGGTGCCCTTTGTGAGCTGATACATGCCTTGGTCGTGAGGTAGTTGGCGGAATCCAATGCGAATGAGTCTTGCGTGCAGATACTGCTACCACAGCCTTGGAGCTTGTTTGATGCCGTACAGGGATTTTAGCAGCTGACAGACTTGGTTAGGCTCTCCGTGGGAGCCGTGTGGGAGTTCGACGAAGATTTCGGCGCCAACAGGTGCGTAAAGGAATGCGTTGGAGACGTCGATTTGCCGTAGTTTCTTCTTCTTCATGGCGGCGATCGCGAGGAGAATTCGTAGTGAGGTGTGTCGGCTGACCGGGGCGAATGTCTCGGTGAAGTCGCGTCCGTGCTCTTGGTCGAAGCCGCGTACGACCCAGCGTGCCTTAAACTTGTCGATGGTGCTGTCTGCCTTTGTCTTCACACGGAAGACCCATTTCCCGGTGAGTACTGCCTTGTTTCGTGCCACGCCGATGGGAACGACTTTGCAGGTGTTGCGTTCCTCCAGTGCTTTCAGTTCCTTGTCCATGGCTTCACGCCATTTTCCCTATGCTCCCCCCCCCAGAGCCTGCTGAACCGTGGCAGGCTCCTTAGGAATGGCTGTGCCATGAACCGCGGTGACGAGGCCAAGTATCTGGAGTCCACTCAGTGTGTAGCGGGGGAGTGTTGTATCCTCAGGATAAGGTGCTTCGTCACCTGCTTCTGGGTCAGGTATAAAGTTGGGCCCTATGCGTTCCGCTTCGTTGGTGTTGACTCTTGCAGGTGTAACGTAACCGGTGTCGGCGAAGTGGTAAAATACTTCGGCGTTGGTGCTGTCGCGAGGATTTTCGTCATCCATTGGGACGTCGACGGAGCAGTAAGGGAGAGGTCCAGCTTCCTTTGAGGCTTCATCCACGTTCTGCTTGTCCCAGTCAGCTTCATCTGCTGCCGAGGCAAAGGCTCGGTCACCACGGAAACCACCTGTGGGGTCCCGATCTTCTTCCAGGTTGGCAAGGTACGTCGGAAGGGGTGAGTCGTTCGTAGAAAATGACATCACGTGCTGCTACAGTTTCTTTGGAGTGGACGTCGAAAATCTTCCACGCGTTGTAATTTCTTTCGATGCCCAGGTGTAGTCCCCACTGTGCGCGTTGGGAGAATTTGGCCGGCTCGTGCAGATGGGGGTCGGTACTGTACCATGCAGCCGAAAACTCTTAACATTTTTGTGCTGCCCTGTTTTCCTGTCCACAGCAGGTGCGGTGATGCGTTGTTCGGGAGCGATGATGACGAGAGCAAGTTGTGCAGCATGACAGCGTGGTCCATTGCTTCGGGCCACTAGTGGTTGGGTAGCCGCAGGCCACGTAGCAGCTTGCGCATGGTGTTCTGAAGAGTTCTGTTCATCTTTTCTGCTACGCCTTGCTGTTGGTGAGCGTAGGGAAGAGAGACGAGTCTCTTGATCCCTCTTTCTGCCACGTACTGCTTGAACCTCTGTGAGATGTATTCTCCTCCTCCGTTTGACTGGAAGCTTTTTTGCTTCACGCCCGATTCTCGTTCTGCTACTGGGAGCCAAGCGACAAAGGCCTCGAAGGCCATGTCCTTGCTCGGAAGGTTAAGGTGCCAAACGTAACGCGTGGCGGCATCGATACACGTGATGGTGTAGCTGTATGTTTCTTGTCCAGGTTCACAGTTCTACAGGATGTCGCTGTACACTTTCTCGAGTGGTGCGTAAGCTGGTGCGCTGGGGTTGTGGTGAGAAGCGAACGGCCGATGTGGTAAGTCAGCTTCGGGGCAGGTAAAGCACGTTCCACGAGCTCGTCGAAGTTCGCTTCCGTCGGTTAGGAGCAGTGAGTCCTTGTCGAGCACTCCTGCTCTGATTGTGTTATTTTACACTGTGTTGCTTGGATGTCCCATTCGTGCGTTCCAGATGTCTTCGCCTGCTCGATGTCCGGGTGAGCGACGGTACAAGTCGGAGTTGGAGAAAAAGCTTGCGGTGAAGTTTGCGCTTCGATGGATTTCTCGTGGTGTTGGGTTCAATTG